TATATATATATGCATAGCATAAATAACTGTGCGAAGAAGTTATTAATGGTGTTGAATAATATTGCAAAGTCGTGCTAAAAACGATTGCTGCTATGTATCGTAAAAGTGAAAGTACCAAGTTTATATGAAATATATAGCCAACTAAAATGAACTATGCGATTAAGTGAATTTTTTTAATAAGTGTGAATAAATATCACATATAAATGCATTGTAGCAAATGTTTGAAATAAGTAGTTAACTAATATCCGTTGTCAGCTTTTCTCACAGTACAAAATTTAGAGACTTGTCAGATGATTTCGATCGTTAGCAAATATTCATTCCCCTAAATACTTCTAATTTGTACGTATAAAGAATATTGCTGATTTATGTGCACATAGTAGGCAGTTATTATGCTGAGCTAAGAGCATAATCTAGTCAACCAACGTTTAACATTTACGAGACCATAATTCATTTCTTTTACGAATCGAGAAATAACTTATGGATGTAATGTTCACAGTTAACCGGACCTGTTTTCCCATACCATTCATAAATGTTCAAGTTTTATTGTACAGCGATAAAAAATTTTTCAAAATTTAAGTTCAACTATTCTAAGGTATCAAAAGTTTTGCTTTGTACTAAAAGGCTGCATATGCGATTTCAGAACATTCTCTAGAATATTTACTTCCCATGTTTGTTTCTTTGGTTCTATGTTCGAATCAGCTGGAAGGTTTAGGCTGACAAAAAAATGAATTTTAATCAGTGTTAAGCTAACTTGAAATCTCAAGAGCTGTCAAAAGTTCATTGTATATCCAACTTCTTTGTTGCATGAGCTTTGTTCACTTAACTTTTCATTTTATCATTTCCTTTCTGACTACTTTTCAGTCAGCAAGCAAACGAAGCATTACTATGCTGAAAGCTTCCGGATCAGGTCTGAGTACATCTTTGCAGTATTTAAATGTCTGCAACATTCATCAATAATCATATGCACTAAAAAATTTCAGTGAACTTTTGTATTCATCGGAATCGCCGTGCGATCACTGTTGAATTTTGATCACATCTTAGATCACAATTCTGTGGGCTTGTATTTCTCAGAATACTGTGGTGGAAATTGAATTCACAAACTCAATTTGATAAACTGTAATTGAAGAGGCTTCATGTACACCCTATCTTTAGCCACTTATTATCCTCCAACTCTGACATCTATAATTTGCTTCATATGTTTGCTGCTGGTCGTTCAACATTAGTGAAGTTGCAAAATTTGCATCTGTTGTTGATGTTTTCTGTGAGAAGACAGAGATTTTGGTGAAGTACTGAGGAAGATACGAAAGAAACTCTTTACGTTTATAAAGTTTCATCCTTTTTAATGTTGATATGAAGTTCTGCATTTATTCAATGATCATAAATAAATTTTGCATTGGAGGATAATGTTAAGAAGTTGTAATGCGTTGTAGTTGATTAGTGAAAAACAGACTTATTGACAGACGTACGTATTGAAATTGTATTCGAAAAGAGGCGTTGATGTGGGCCAAGAGCCACATCACCGATATGTGTGACGAAATAATAGCTTTCGAAGTTGGGGAAGTTGAAGCATAAGTTAAGCGATTATCAACTAGTCACTATTTTACAACCATCCCCATCAAATTGCGCTATTACGAGCGAGCACACTCCAGTAGCAAACACAGCACTAAGCAGTGTTAATTTGATAGTGGTGATGTGCGAAAACAATACAATTCATATCATCAACATTGTCGTATTTCACTTATTCATCGTTTTATTTTTTCGTCTATTGAGAATCAGTTATATTAGTTTGATAGTTTTAGTCATTCAGATCATCATATAGGTTGATGACAAAGTTGGATAAGGACTTTGCTTGTTAGGAGAGAAATGTTCAAGAATGAAGAGAAATTTTATAATGATTCACAACGTGTAACAATGTTGTTATGATGCGTTGAATGAGCGCTACACGTATTAGTAAATAGATGGTCGCTGTTATTAATTGTTGTCATTTAATTAGAGCATTCAGTTCACTGGATGTGCGATCACAACCTTACAAAAACTGCCTTCATAACGTAAACACATGGCACATTTCAATATTTGATGAGCTTTAAGAATTTCAGTCTTTCTGCATAATCTTAATGCGCAAAAAATGTGTGTGTTTACTGTGATAGTTTCGGCTCGATTATGTCTTTTAAAAAACTGTGCTTGAAGCATTAATGTTCGATAGTTTGGCAGTTAATAAAGAGGAACTGATTTCCTCCAGCCACAGCGATAGCATTTATTATCTTTCAGTTCTTCGTTTAAGCTGTGAGCTCCGAATCCATTTCATTGTGTTTTTGGTCAGTGCTCATGTGCTTATTATCCTAACGATAAGTATGATTGCGATGTTATTTTGATGAAGTTTCAAACGATCATGTCTGCGAATTCACATAATTCAATTATCCTCCGAAATTTTTTCTTTCAGCAAATACTGTGAATCTATACTAAACAGCGATTGAGAGTTTTTTGTCCTGGATATATTTCGACAGAACTTTTTTTACATCCATATGGTTCGACGTCTATCGTACTTGAATATCGGAGTTGTCTGTGGAATGTGTCTATGAATTAATACACCCATATTCAGCGAAATTTGATTATATTGTTGCTCATTCTTCAACTAATATCATCGAGAAACCAATAGAATGTACCGATTGGTCTTCTGTGAATTATCTGCTTTCAAATGATTGAAAAATCAGGAAATTAGTTATTGAACAATACACATGTGTATTGTACAAAATGCGAGTGTTAGTGAGAAAACGATATCAGATGATTATTATTTATCGTTTTCACATTTACATTGTTTGTGAGCTTATTAACTGCATCGCTCATAATCAACGCGTTGAGGTGGCTTAGCACCGCAATGAGTTTTGATTCGTTATCTGCGAGCACACCCGGCCTCGGCGTTTTTCCACGTCGTGCGATCACAATCGCAGCGCCAGATGACGCACACGCGCAGACCGTTACCGTCTATCTGCATACATTCAATCCCGAATCATGCGATCAGCGCATCAAGATTGATTTCTATAAACGAGCAACCACAGAAGAATTGATCGAAAAGGTGCTCCAACATAGACCAGGTTTCTTTATCTTACGCTCCTAATTTTATTCCATTGCAGTGACGTTTCTATTCCAAACTGGCTGTTCAGTTCCCGTTCCGTTCTAAACATTAGAATAGAACAGTTCAGGGAAAGGGACGCGAACAACTGAACAACCGAAGGGCGGAATAAACCAGTTTGCCAAAAGTGTGGAACAGAAACATTACTATTCCAGTGATCATCGTCATTGTAGCAATTTTCTGTGCAATTTTTCTCGTTGCAAACACGTCTGATGCCCTCATCAAGGAAACGAACAACCTGGTGATAATGCACCAGTTGTAATGTATACCTATATTTGATTTACAGAATTAGTGAGCTACACGTGCGATGATTTCGACTTGTATGAAATTATGGGTACTCTTGATGGGCAAACTTTTAAAGAGCGTAAATTGGATCGAGGTGAATATCCTGTAGCCGTACAAATGCTTTGGTCACAATCCGTTCAGAACAACAGCAATGAAGCGGCACCCAAAAATCGTTTCGTATTGCGGTTCGTTTGAATGTATCACAATTCGATGGCTTAGATGCGGTCAACCCAACTTCAATTAGATCCCTTCCCAACAGTTAAAATGGAAAATGTTTCATTCAGTCACCATTTTACACCTTCAAAATGATCGTTTTTCTCACCTGTTCCAATCAGCATTGGAACTGATATCACTGTTGCGATATAGTTTTTCACGAATGTTTCATTACTTCAGTAATATAAAATAAAGAACCGATAAGCAATAAAAGCAACTCAGTGGTTCTTGTGACGGGTATGAACTCCGTAGCGCATCTCGCTCGGCACATGCTATACTAATCCTTAGCAGATTGATGCCGTTTAATGAGCTGAAATTATCTGAAGAATGAGGATATATAATTGATACCAGTACAGTCCGTCAGTGTGCTGTAGCAGTTCGGTTATTTTAGACACAAGAGTACTCGACCTATTGTTGACGGGGGTATACGTCTTGGATCTGCCGATGCTTCAAGTACGATCGATTCATTCCTGGCAAAATTCCTCACTCAGCCACAGGTGGTTTATTCGATGATACCGCTGATAATCAGACTGAATGATACTGATTAGAGGACTACTGATAATCTGAAATTGCCATCAGCTGTCATTTGCAGGATCGTGAATATGCGGATTTATGCATGCTGCCTGAATTGACCGAACAAACACTTTTGGACAACTTGCGTGATCGATTCAAAAGTGGTCATATTTACACGTACATCGGTTAGTGATCGCAAGCATTTCTCTTTGCTTGTGCCAACTACGTTGAAGATAATGCCTCATTTTCAATGCTCTTCACTTCTTGTGGCCTCGAGCCTGACACAGTTTCTTCCTTCAGTTCACTAGCGATGGCTCCTTATAACTACTTTTCGTTTATTTATGCTGTCTCGCTAAACACAGAACAAAGGGAAAGGTTCATCAAAAAATACATATTATCATGCGTATTTCCTCAAGTGTAAATGATCGTACATTGCAGGTCCAATTCTCGTTGCGGTGAATCCTTTTAACTTCTTTCCTATTTACAACCCAAAATATGCTCGTCTTTATTGTCAAAGCAGGCGACTCGGCGCATTGCCTCCGCATATTTTCGCGATTGCCGATGTTACATATCACAAGTGACTGTTGCTTCGTATTGTTTTGCTTGATCTTTAGCATTCACTGTCCGATGAAAATATCGAAAATAATCATTAACGGAAAGATTATCGAGCGCTGTAAGCAGTTGCGAACAAAGTCTTTTTAGACTAATCCATGATGATGAGTTATAATAATGATAGAAACAGTCAAACTTGCATCAGCAAACAATAGTCCAATATGGTTGAAAGAAGGCTGAAGCTGCATGGAGTTATACTCCTTGAATGAGGCGTTTCAGAATCTCTTGTTTCAGTATGCTTCGTATCAAGGAAAATCAATGTGTCGTGATCAGCGGCGAATCGGGTTCAGGAAAGACTGAGTCAACTAATTTTTTGCTTCATCACCTCACGTCACTCAGTCAGAAGGGATCTACTGGTAGCTCTATTGAACAGACCCTTCTCTCAGCCGGGCCCGTACTTGAAGTTAATCTTAGTTGATGCCATTTTTTTGTGATTTTTCTTCATGCGTCTATGAGATCAATGATAGTCAAAGAATCTCACTAAATGGGGACAGAACTTTATGATTACTTACTTGTTTTCAAGCAAAACAAATTCATCGACAAAAACAGGCGTCGAAAATCAGAAGTAGTTTTCATGATCTTCGAAAATCTCATAGCGATATCGCAGCATCTTGATCAATTGTAAATATTAATGAGCTTGTTGTCAGTTGCTATTCATTTGAAGTGAACTTCGAAATGAACTGTTACGACGAGCGAATGAAATTTGAATTGATCTGAGTAGAGCATTTTCAGGCATTCGGTAATGCGGTGACGGTCCAGAATAATAACAGCAGTCGCTTTGGCAAATTCATCAAAGTGAACTATCGAGAAAATGGAATGGTTTCTGGGTATGTTTAGTTAAAAAAATAGCCGATTTTCAGTAACCCTACAAGATTACACATTTCAGTTTCTTTTGCCTTGTTCTTTTTACGTTTTTGGCTTCCTTTATGCCGCTGCATTGTAGGCGATACATTGAAACCACCAAAACAATGAACGCTTTGAAACAATCAAAATTTATTCAGTATTGAAGATATTTGAAGACGAGTATTTCAGTGCAAATGTCGAAATATATCTCCTCGAAAAATCTCGCATCATATCGCAAGCTGTTGACGAACGGTCAGTTGTGTTCCAAAATATTTTTTGAAATGTAAATTATTTTAGCGCCAAATCCTCTTCCAATTTGATACTTTTGTGATATCATCCTTTCTGGTGAATATTCGCAACATTAATCAAAATGTCAACATAATTTCTGAAAGAAACATTCCTTTCATTCGATCTACAATAATCCCGGTCGATTTATCTGCTTTAAGTCATCGAATTTACCCTAATTCTCACCTGCTCATTGAAAATATGTCTTTCAGAAATTATCATGTGTTCTATTATTTGCTGGAAGGGGCGACAGAAGAGGAACGCAAGCGCCACTTCCTCCTTCAACCGAGTGATTATTATTATCTCAATCAGGTATATTTCGTCTTTCAGCCTTTTTTCTATGTATATTTAATTCTCAGATGTGCCAGTGACATGCTAATAATTTACGTGCAACAATCTGATGAACCTTAACTGGACTTAAAACGAATTTGTTTAATGTTTAATACAATTTTTGAAAGATTAAAAAATTTTTTCAGAATAAATTTTATTCGGCAGAAGGTGTAAATGGTAAATATGAGTATGCGCGTCTTAAGCACGCTATGGATGCTGTTGGTTTCTCGATCAGCTCTCAACAAAATATGTTCGCTGTAATTTCAGCCGTTTTACTGCTTGGCAACATTGAATACATAAAAGTACACCCTTTTTCATAGTCGTATTACAATATTACATCAAAGAAGTTCTAATAATATTGTATTATTTGATCTGCTATTGTCAGTTATGAACTGAAGTTGTCGTTTAGAGGCCTGGTTATCATAGTGATGAAAATGCATATGTGAGTAATGAAGAGCTGGTGGGAGTGATTGCTGAATTACTTGATATAAAAGCTGCGAATCTGATTCAAGCGATGACTATGAGACGTACGATTATGAAGAATGATACAGTGATTAGTCGATACAATGTAAATGAGGTAAAGAAACATTTCTTTCATTCGATTTACAATAATCCTGGTCAATTTATCTGCTTCCAAGTCATCTTTTTTACACTAATTCTCACAGCTCATTGAAAATATGCCATGTTGTAGGCGATAAGTACGAGGAATGCAATGGCCAAATGTCTTTATAACGCTCTCTTCCACTGGATTGTGCTGAAAATTAATCTAGCACTTTTGAAGAAGGAATCTTTCACCGGTAAAAAAGGATACTACATTGGTGAGTGAATTCTTGTGCCTTTTACGAGCATCTTCATCAAATTGTTCAAAATGCTATTTTTGTTGTCTTATGAAGTGTGCCATTAGTCTCATCAAAATACTCACATATTCTATTGTATTCAATTAGGAACCATGAATTCTTCATCTGATTGACAATACAGTCGTAGAAATGTATCTCAAAAAAAAGTTACATCTTCCATCTTATTGTTAGTAGAGGCGTCGTCCATTGAATAACTGCATTATTTTTTATTTCTATGATAGGGCACTTGTGAGAGTTCATTCAAATTACAGGAATCCTCGATATTTTTGGGTTTGAAGATGTTGGTGCACAGTGGAATTCGTTTGAGCAATTATGTATTAATTATGCTAATGAGCATTTGCAGGCCTATTTCAATCAACACATCTTCCAGTTTGAGCAGGTACTGAACGTCGTTTTCTTACTTGCAATTATCATTTTATACTGAACCACTCTTCATTGAGACTGAGCTGTGATATTTTTTCGGTTTCATATTTGCTTCCTAAAGTATTTTCATAGGGATCATTCGGTTTTCTTCAGGAGGAATACTTTAAAGAAGGGATTTCATGGACAAACATTGAATATACGGACAATACTGAATGCGTGCAATTGTTCCAGGTATAAATACCTCGCTCAAAATTGTCACAAAAGAATTATTTCTAATTGAATGTTCAACTTTCTAAAATAAGGATCTTGGTTCACTCTGTTCCGTTTCATTCGAATTCCTATCGTATCGATATGAAACGTAAAATTTTTATTATTCATGTGGCTAGTGAGCGTTCTCTACTATTTAAGAGTAAGCCGTACGGTATATTGCGATTGATCGATGAAGAGAGTAATATCAATAATGGAACTGATAAATCAATGTTCGATAAGCTCAACCATTTCTTGAACAATCATGAATATTATGAAATTCCTCAAAAACGTGAACTTGCATTCATTGTAGCACATTATGCTGGCAAAGTAAAGTACCAGATTACTGTAAGTTTGTTATATTTTCTAAATTCTAAGCGTTGATTTGAATGAAATTTGGAGTTGAATCGAGCGTTTCATTCGATTCAGCATATTTCTCAATTATTATAATCAACTCTACAAAATAATGAAAGTTTACAACATTGAAATGTTGTGTAACCTCGAGTGAAACTCATTTTATTTCTGCGTACTGCTGCTTCAGGGTTTTCGTGAAAAGAATAAGGATCTGATGAGGCAAGATGTCATCATGGTGTTGAAAAACAGTCGTTCTGCGTTTGTTCGTGAACTAGTCGGTGATGATCCGGTTGCAGTTTTCCGATGGAATGTGCTTCGTGCTACTATTCGAGCGATGAATGCGTTTCGACAGGCTGGGATGAAAGCTAAACATTTAGGTCTCGATGAATCCCCAAATGCTTATGAGTATAAACTTATATACCGTTCCAAGCAAGAACGATAATTTGCCCGAAACATCGTCGATAGCATTCAGCACTTACTGGATATTATTGACATTGTGACAGAATCATGTATTCGGAAATTTCAGAAAGTTTGGATCATTTAAACGTTGGTTGTGCCAACGTTGTTGTACCAAGACGAAGCTCAGATACACATTTAAGCGCCTTCCTTCGTGGTGATATATCCCCTGAAGTTGTACCAGACTTTTGTGATACATCTTTTTTCAAAACAATAGTCACTCAAGCACGCAAACAACCGATGAAACCGAGAGAAGAACGACAAAGCACACTCAGAAGCCTTCAAGTGAGTTCAATGAAATCTTTGCGTCAATCTCCAAATTCCTCTTTTTCATCGCGAAACTTCATGGTTCCATTACGTTTCCACTGCTTTTGAAGTTCGTTCAGCGCTTAAACTGATCCAGTGATTGAATGATGTGTTCCATTTAACGGTCCATTGCAGGCAATAAAGGCTCTCTCTAATACGAAACGTATCAGTGGTAAGCCATCATCTGTTAGTAAACAGTTTGAACATTCCTTATCACGACTGATGAAAACTCTCTCTCAGGCGACACCATATTTCATTAGATGCATCAAATCGAACAATGAGAAGGTTTCGATCTTGTTTCGATTCCGATCTTCTTTGCATTCATGATCCTTTATCTGAATTTGCTAGGTCCAACATCGATGCAAATTCGTTCATATCGTTACTCTTTCAGATTCCAAATTATTTTGATGATAATATTATTCTGCGTCAGTTGCGCTATACGGGTATGTTGGAAACCGTTCGAATCCGTAGAGCTGGATATAGCTTTCGAATTCAATACAACGTTAGTGGTAGATATTTTCAGTAGCATTTTTACTACATGTTTTGAATGCGTTAATTGCATCCTATTTTTATTGATGTTTAAAATTCGTTTTCTCGTTTAACGAAACAAGAAAAGGCTCATTCCAAAATAACCACACCAATAAAGCTGTTGTTTGCAGTCATTGTCATGTTGAGGCGTACCCAACGTTTCGTAATTAGAGTGAAACCGAAACTTAATAAGAGATTGTGGTCTTCAGAGTCCATCCAAACGCAATGACAGATTGAATTTCGTCGTTCAGAACGCTTCCAAATGACATGAATTGTGAAATTGGCGCTACTTTCATGTGCATAATAAATGTACACTTACCGCATATCACCCAAAAATCGTTACATTTTCTTATCAGCTTCTGGGGCCATCCTTCCATCATTAAGCCGCTGACCGCGATAAATTAGTGCGTTTAATAATAATAATAATATTCGTTCTATAATAAAAGACTGCTCAATCGAATGCAGGCTTTTGTAAAACAATACTGGATTCTCTTAACAAATGGTCGTGAAAGTGATTCAAACGACGTCAAATCGTTCATAGCCAATCATCCACTCATTGCACAAGATAAAGTGCAATTTGGGTTAACAAAAGTTAGCTTTCATTGCTCTGTTCCTCTGCTCATATTGAATCGTTTCACTAGAAATCTAGCTCCAGTTATTCTTTTTAAAATTTGTTCGAGTCTATGACTCTCCGTTATGCAAATTCTTCTCTTTTTTCATACAGTCAATGTTATCAGCGCAGAAGATCATTCGTCTTCTAATCTCGATTATTGATTCGGCGATTTCACACTGAACGAAACAAACTTAAGAACTATACACATGGTTTTAAATTCGAGTATTTTTTGAACGCAATCCCATTATCTCATTTAGATTTTTGTGCGTGATGCGGAAAAGTTATTGCTGGATGACCAACTGCACAAGACGATAATGCATCATATCGAAACCCTGCAGCATTGGTTCCGAGCTATTATTATTAGACGGAAGTTCTTGCGTTTACGAGCTTCTGTTTTAAGAATACAGGTATGCCTGACCAAAGTCCTTGAATTATTACTCCAATGAATGTCATTGTATCCACACCAAATTGTTCGATAATTTATGTTAACTAGGAATCGAACCTTCATTTCTCAATTGCATTGAAACATAATGAGACAGCTTAGCCGAAGATAGTTTTTTTTTTTTTTGAATAAAACGCACCCATCTACGATTAGTGGACGGTATAAAGTTTCTCAGTTAATTGATAAGAGAATGGAGAGCCACTTCGAAAAGATTGTAGTTTTCAGGCATTGGCTAGGGGAATGTTATTAAGGAATCGATTGCGAGAAGAAGCGAATGCTACACTTGTTATTCAAACCAACTGGAGACGCTATGTGGCAGAGAAGAAATATCGGCAACTTCGTAATGCGGTACTCGCAATTCAGGCGGCGTTTCGAGGCAATCAGTTCAGAGATCAGTTAGTGACATTCTTTCCCTTCTTATTTGCACTGTTCTTTGTTGAATTATGGTGGAGATCATATGCTGTGGACGAATATCAAATCGCCAAATAATTTTCATAACTGTAATGTTTGCATCCAATCTACATGAGCAATTTCGAATTACTCACGCATGGCAATGTTGATCATCGAATTTCGTTTTTCGATTGAGGCTTATTTACACTTTAAAATGAGTAGACTGTTTTTAAAGTGGTTAATTGTAGATTCGGTGAGATACAGCGTTTGAGGGCATTCAAGAAGACGAATGCAATCTTCGGTATAGCAAAGGTGATTCACAAACATGAACTGGCCTCATTTGATCTCAACAATCCTGAATCACTTGCAACGTTTGCATTTTCGGATGAAGATGAGGAGGACGAAGAATCGTCGAGTACCGTTGACTTATTAGACGAGGATGACGACGGCAGCGTCAGCGGTGATAATCGATTATCGAAAGAGTAATTCTTGATTTCGCCTTCATTTGAACATCTCCTTCACAGGTTGATGGTATTTAAGCACTTATTCTAATTATTATTGTTACTCTGATGGAATGGCAGCATTCAAGTATCCTGATCTTGTCAGCTTGATAAATGATTGAAAAGCTTTGATGAAAACGTCGTCTTCTTTGTCCGTAACATACCCACTTATGCACCTTTACATACGAATACTGATTGAGTCCACGAAGTGAGTTTGTTTTAGTGGACGTTCGGATATTGATCTGGACGCAACGTTCATCGTTGAGGATAAGAAATTGAAACTTATCGAGTCAGTACAGTTGATTCTTTTGTTTTGATTTTTTCTTCACAAGGAATTCATTACAATTGCTTTGTCTTTCCTACGAGAATTTGTCAATATTTATTGAGTAATTACTTCGCTCTCATTGCCTTCTCAGAATTGAAGCACTTTGAATTGGTGATTACTGAAAAAAATATGGGGACTTGAAGAGAGAAATTATTGCAGTGAAAAACCTGAGACGGACTTTAAAAGGCGACAAAGTTTAGCTACCACTGGTTCCACAGCCAAGGTAAATTTCTTTTACCATTGCTTTCCCTTGTACTCAGTTTCTTCAAAAAGAGTGTTATCGTTTCACTGAGCAAGCATAAAACACATTTGTATTAAAACTTTCATAGTGTTGATTAAATGGTGCCTGATCAAGATGCATTAATAATAAACCGAAGTGATGCAGCCGTTCACTCAAAAATTCAATTAGTAGAGGTATTATCTTCATGAAGGTAATTATCTTCAATGGTTGCAAAAATTCAGAATGATCTAAACACATGATCTTAATTAAGGATCAATTTCGTGTTCTCTACTTAGAACGCAAGCAGGTAAGTACATGATCAGTGCCTGAGCGTTCGAGCAGGTGATCTGATTCGAACAAATTCTCTATAATGAGCCAACATTGCACCCTTCAGCATTTCATGACAATTCATTTCCTATCGTTTACTGCTCTTCTGTACTTTTCTTAAGCAGCTCAATTATAGAATTTTCCAGGAATGCTTCATAACAGCTTTCATCATACCCAACCCTCGACATGTTTTATGAGGCCGCGAAAGTTTTACAAAGTTTGACAGTTGAGAGATAGTTGAGAATGTCAAGTATTGATCAACTAATTCAAAATTTTAAAGTTATTCGAATCAAATGCAATCACATTTGAATATTTCGATCTAATTTGTCAGTTATTTTATATTCGTAGGGTATAGTGTTACTTTTCCGCATTACAATGGATAGGGGAGTTTATAAGAAGCAATTTCTGTAATCGTGTTGCTTGCACTGCCAGTTAACACATTCAATTTCTGAGGGAAACCTGATAAGTTGCAATTCTTTGCATGGATACGCTAGATCCGAGTTGACACCAAATCCTAATCATTTCCTCTTGCACTGCTCAATCCATGAAATGCTTCATGAATAGTGCGGTTTTTAATGGAAATTTTCTGTTTTCCGCTTTTGTAACTGTCAGTAAATGCTTTTACGTAACCTTCAAATCAAGTTTTCTTTCATTTCGATTTTTCGTTCAATCAAATCTGAAAGACCCTTGTTTTTGTTTCAGTTGAAAATGCTACGAAGAGCAGCAAGCACTGAGAGCGCTCAAATACCGCTAAAGGAGGACCGCTCTAAGGATCCGCAAGTAAGTTGGTATTATCATCAAAACTGTTTCAGAAGTTGTTGCACAAGTCATAATTTTTCCTCATCGAAGAAATTCCTTCTGATAGCTGTCGTGCAAATTGTCACACTGCACTGAACGAATAATTTTCAGAGTCCGGAGGGCAAAATTAAGCCTAAACGGATGGGTTTCACTCGAGCCAAAAAGCAGTTGAAAGCATTTCTTACCAGGAGAAGCGACAGTATACAAAGCGAGAACGAAGATGCGCCTGATTTGAGCGCAAGGTTAGAAAAAGAACTGTTAAATTTGGGTTTGAATTCGCACATTGTTATCGTTAGCGATGGGATATTGTCTCCTGAACAAAACAAAAAGTTATACTCCGTAAAAAATGCCGCATTAATTTTCAGTACAAATTTGATTGCATCGCACAGTTCAACGTCGATTTCGATGAAGAAAACACATAGCTTCAAGCTGAGTCGATTTCACCGTGCTGAATCTTGTGCACTGTGCAACAAAAGCTTGACCGGATTACTCGTTCAAGGGCATAAATGTACAAGTGAGTACCTCTACCTTTGGATCACGAAGGTGCTCCTTGAGAAAATACCATTGAGAAAAGTCAATTCTACGAGATGAACATGCGTATTTTTCATTATCGTAAAATAATTTGAGAATAATGACAAATTGATGCCCAGTTGGAAAAAAAATTGACCAAGCTCCGGTTCCATCTTCGGCCCTGCGTTTTTGAAATTTCTGCTCCAGCACTAGATCTGGCTCCACATTTTCAAAGCATTCGGCTTTAGCTCCAGCTCCGAATTCAGGTTCGAAATTTCCTCTGCTCTGCCCCTGCTCCGGCTCCAGAGCAATCTAGATTCTGAAAACAAAAACTGCCGCACAGGTCTCAACTGCGGCTAATGAATGTTATCGCGATACTCCTTTTTTGAAGGAGCCAAACAAATTTTTTGGCTCCGGGGGTTAAGCATCATTGGTTATGAATCTTCGTTCGGAGAATTGCAGAAGACTAAGGATAAACTCGGAAGGTATCGGATGTGGTGAAAGATTTTTTTTTTCAGGTTGCAAACTTTCATTTCACAAGGAATGTTTCGCCTTCGCCAATAATATTCCCTGCCAAGCGTGTCCTCCGTCGCCTCGGACTGAGCTGTCTCCGCCCAAAAAACCGTGGGATATTAGGTTTAACCTTTGTTTTTCCAGTTTCGTCCCTCAATTTATCGAGCTGAATTTTGTTATATCCCTTTTTCCTATTCATTCAAAATTTAGCTGAGAATACTATTTTAAAATTGCTCAATTTCTTATTGAAATCTGATTTCATTCTATCATCAAAGTGATTTCAGGATTTCATATTCTGATTTCAGGAGCAGTTTGTCACCACGTCATTCATTAGCACCGTTGAATTTGCAGACACCAAAGTCATTCAACCTTTTCAAGACTAAGCAACAGGTGAATGTTTCTCCATGAGAAGAAATCGTAATCTGTTTGATGAGAGTAATAAGCATCTCTGCCAAATGGCTAAATCACTTCTTTGTCAGATGACCTATTTCAGACAGATCCAACTGATATGATTATTCAAACAACCGATGATCTCAGGCAATTCAATGTATTCATTTTTAAAAAGTTAACTTCTCTCGAGAAGAATGTACAAAAAAGGGATACAATGGTGGATGCGATTTTCAAGAAAGCGCTGAAAGAATTCCATATGGAAATTATCGGCTACGAAGCCGTTTTAATCGTTCGTTTGAATTCATTCGTCAGTTCACTTATTGATTTTGTGCGAACATACAATTCTACCATCACCATCACGAAGTGTTCTTTGATAAATTCAGTTTTAAGGATGACAACTGAAAGAGCACATGTCTATAGCGATACCCAACTAATTTAGTTGTTGATTCTAGGAAGATAAAGCGGTTTTGAAATATCGTGAACTCATCACCACTTTTGAAGGCTCGCTCATAAAAGTGTCCGCCAAAGAAAAGGTATATTTTTGTCGTAGTTCACGAGTTTCATTATGAAAATGGAACATAAGCTTTATTAGAGTTTGGCTGTTTTCAATCAGGCAAGAGAAATACAGATTTTTTATTGCTAACAAATTTAGGTGACGTTTCCAACAACTCTTGGACTGAATGCGTTTCGTGGTTTCCTCAACGAATTCATGCAGGAACAAATGAAACGCAAAACTTCGCAAAAGAAGTCGAGTATGCTGCAGGTTAATCATGCAAAATTGATTAGTGCAATTCGATATTATCCGATTGTTTGCACCGATTTTATTGATGGACGAACGAATCGGATGTACACAGCTTCCTTCCCTGTGTATCCTCATACCTTATATGTTGCGTTGCGACTGCGTCCTTACCACTCAAGTTATTAATTTACCGTTATCGAAACTGTTTATGCTTGCGCTGAAACAGACGTATCAGTTAAAATCTGTGTTGCTGCATGATTATCAAAAATTGCTTGATGCGTGTACATTTCGTCTATGTCACCTGTTTTATCAATCTAACATTCACATAAAGTATTGTTTCTCAAAACAAGAATGTGGTTGAACGCACTCACCTGAAATATTCTTAATTATAGTATTGCACGCGATGGTTAATAACGTCTGTGTGGGATTTTACTCATTTCTGAAGATTATCGCCGGTAATCTCGCAACTGAAAAGGTTGAGAAGCAATTATATTAATCACATGTCTTCTTTTTTATGGATCATGATTTGCATCGATGTGAATGGTGTGAAATTCTTGAGTCACCACTCGTGGAACAGATGCAGTGGCTTACGCGAATGTCTGATAACAAACGTCGATCCGCCTGATAATGACCGAATTGATTCACACTCCTGAAATGTTTAAAATTCAGTCGTCTTAGTGCATCAAACCGCAAAGTTGTCTAATCAGAGCACTGATAAATGAATCTAGCAAACACTCGTTCGGCGTAAAGAAAGTCTGCAACAATTTGAATGAGAAAGAGCCGAAATGAGAAGCCCGTTTAACGGAAAATCACACAATTTGAGACACTTGGAAGAAATCCTATGGGAAGATCTTGAACGAAGCAGAGTTATACATGAAATTGCTTGCATATAATATTGTTCCGTTGAGCTCCTACAACATCCGATAACGTCGCGAATTACGATTTTTACGAATTATAATTATAAATAGAAAAATCAAACTCTTGTCGTAAGTCTGATTGGATTTTGTAGTCTTGATTTCGAAATTGCTTGATGAGTAAACGTAACAGCAGAACTAATGTAAATCACTTTCCTCATTGCTTTTTTTCCCATTATTGCCATTTTGCCCTTATGTAATTTCATTCTAATTGAACTGCTAATAATGGCTCTCAGTTACAGTAGGAAAGGAGCATGATGCTAACGCTTTTCTGACAATATATGAATGTTGAATCGACCATAATCAGCAGCAGAACATTTTTTGTGAATTCAATAAATTGTGCTTCATTTGCAGAATGTTCGAAAGAAGAGGAGAAAATCAGATGTGATTGTAAGTATTTCCGGTTTTCAATAATATTCGGTGGATGTTCGTTTGTGATCATTTCATTAATTCAGCACTTTTCGTTCATTTAGTACCCAGATGCTGTAAGTGAACAGTCGCAACCGTTTCTTCCCAGGCTATCGCGATGAGATGTAAAAAATATTGTGCAAGTTCAGTTTTATGAACTCCACTCAAATTCCTTCCCTGTCACAGTATGTAAACAATGTGTCAACATCAATTAATGTCTTTACAATCGTTTCTCCTGGCATTCGTATGCGAGCTGGTGTGTCATCGGTTTATGTGTTCATGACCGAGCTGGTTTTTTTTTTTTTGAGAAAAGCCAGAGCCGCAATTATGGATATGACGTATCTGAGGACGGCTCATATTAACGTATATATAAGTGGATCAAGTTTATTTGCAATTAACGAAATGTTTCTAGTTGCACAACGGCCATAAATTCAAAGCAGAATACGTTCATGTGCCGACTTATTGTGAAATCTGCAATCAGTTCATGTGGCACGCCGAGAAAATCTTCATTTGTACGGGTTGTCGAATCAGTTGTCATAAGAAGTGTCACTCGAAAATTACACATCCTTGCACTCGATCAGCTCAGCGCACATCGAATACGGTAAGCAAGCGTATTGCTTAATGAGAGGGCATTTTGGTGTTCATTACTTGTTTCCTTGTTGAAAAATAGTCCCTTGATTACTTTTTTATTCGTTTTTTTTCTTACTTCTTGATCAATATTGACTGAATCAAGAATTCAAATGTTATTGTAGTTAGGAGAGCGTACAGGTGACCAGAAATAATGCTTCTATGCCAATAATAATTATTGGTAACGTAGATGTATCGATAAAATGATAGTAGTGTTTACATCAAGGAGAATTTCAGAAAGGCGGACGTTTCTTTGGCGCTGAGTTGAACAGTTTGGTTGACGATGAACAATCAATCCCGGTGGTCATCGATAAATTGTTCATGGCAATCGAACTGAGGGCACTTTTTGTAGAGGGGATCTACAGAAAAAGTGCTGCAATCGGTCAAGTACGCAGTGCACGTCGAACCATTGAAAGTGCACCGAGTGAGTGAAATTCCTTTAGAATTCACACAGGTATTTCTAGGACCACTTCGTTTCGCACGTCAGCGTCTCTGCAAGTGAGGAATAAGGAGGCGCTTCTGTCAAAAGCACTAATTTCGGTTTATCTCATTTCAGAATTCGAAGAATTATGTTTTGATGAGGTACCTGTCCATGTAATTACGACACTCATCAAATCATTTTTCCGTGAAATGCCCGAACCGCTCATCACATACGATCTCTACGAAAACTTTCTCAACGCTTCTGGTATCACTTGCTTCTATCATTCATCATTTAACGCTATTGTTCTCATCAAAAACTGAAACCTGAGATCATTCTCAGCTGATTACCTTATGTCACAATGAGTCCGAGTTATCCTATTACATTCAAGTGTGCATGAATCGGAAGAATCTTTTTTCTAAAAAATGTAACTGTGCCATATCAAACTGCGTTTCAGAAGTTGAAGAAGCATTTGAAAGAATTCGATGCTTGAGTGTAATGGTTGAATTGTTACCAAAATGCAACAGAAGCGTTCTTGATCGACTGATGTATCATTTAGCTAGAATTGCTCATCAGGTAATGTCAAGTCAGCGAAAATGTTTGGAATTCTTCTGGAAGCACATTTGCCAACTTTGTATGAATGTTCAGTATGGATTCACAGCGAAAGTTCATTTTTTTTAAATCGTTTCGTGAACTCGAATTGATGCAGTAGCGAGCAAATAACATATTATCATTGAGGTGTCAGAAATGCTAAAATATTATACGTTGTTTAGGAATCGGTGAACAGGATGGGATCTGCGAATTTGGCGTTGATCTTCGCACCTTGTATTTTACGCAGTAATCAAAGCGTTCATGCACAAGAACAGCTTCGTGATGTGAACAGACAAGCGATTTGTGTAAAATCACTTATTGATGAAAAATTGAGACATTTTCGAATTACGGTCACGCAGATTGTTACGCTGGAACATGCTAGTGAAAAGGCAATGTCTTACAAGTGTTTCATGGTTGTTGATTAGCAGTTGATATCATTAACAGTTAACACTGATCACTGCGATTGTTCTTATTTTGAGAATTTGAGACAGTGATACAGGAGAGCGCAAACGATACCACCGAAGGTGGTTATCCGATGCTGATAAGAAAATTTTTATTTACAACCGAGTTCAACAAGAGTGCATTCAGATATCAGAGAACTTACGACGAATTGACGAACACAAAAAGAGTTCTGACGAAAAACAACCGATATCGCTGGGACGCGATAATATGGAAACTGCCAGACAGCTTTTCATTGAGCAGCTTGATTTTCTTGACAATGAGAAGTGAGTTATTATAAATCAGAGCTGATGTAGACCAATGCTGTTCTATTAATGAATGGTTCCCGGATACACTCAAGCAATTAGCTTGAAGCTTTAAGTATAAAATAGAACTGCTTTTTGTTATAGCATTACAATCGAAGCTTTAACCGATTAGCATTTGCAGAGATAAGCTGATCCAGGACTTGCCACCATTAGTACCAGTCGCATCATCCGAGGATCTCTCGTCGAGTGACGAAAACAGCAATTCTGCGTTTACCGCAGAACAACATCAAGAAGAATATGCTCTCGACTTGGATGCACCACCCATCTTTGGTACTCTCCCGAATCCGTCAGCAACTCGTGCACGTCGTCCACAAACTAGGCCACCATCAAGGCCGTTTCGATTAGCATTCGCCTCCGCTCAGTTCTCTTTTCCTACCTATGATCTTTTAAAAGCGATATGAGGATGATGTTATTATGTCGCTATGCCTTCACGCCTCGACATTTCCATTTTTTTGATGTGATTGCCATTAATCCATAAAAAATACTTTCTGTTGCTGATGTGATGTTTGGTTGAGTGTAGAACCGTTGTTGGTGCTCAACGCAGGCAGTTTTGATTGACATTGATTTGTATACACAGTGTTATTTGATTGATGCAAACATGACATTCCAACACGTTCACTACTCATCGACGATATATATATCACTTGGCACAATCGAAATAATACTCAAGTTCAGAGCAGTGACAGTAAATGTCATGGCCTGAATGACGACTTCGCATGATCGACTGCAAACAACTGTGAAAAACTAGCATTCAAGCTGGGTACGAATAGAGATGCAACGCAAAAAGTTTTCGCACTCCTGAAATATAGCATTGAAAAACACCCTAAAGTGTCGATATCCTTTGCGCAATCGTAAACGATATATCAATCTGATATTTTCGTGGAATGTTCAATAATACTACCGAAATACTAATAAAGATTCATCAAGTTCTGTATTCATACCTCTGAAAGGGAAACCGGTTTGAGATGTTTGACATTTCTTGCATTGGTGTGAAATGGTTTTAATGCTTCAATATCTTCAGCATAAAACCTATGAAAGTCCACTGTTAATTGAAGTTTTGGACAACATCTAGGGAACTTATTCCGTGACATTATCGTCTCGCAACGTAGCCGGAGATATTTTTAAACAAAGGAATTTTCAAACAGTTAACCGACGAGTTGAGATTAGAGAAATTTAATAACTGCCTATTAAGCAACTATGAGTGGAAAATTTAATAACTGCTGATTAGGTAATTATGAGTCGAAATTTTAATAACTGCTTATTAAGCAATTATGAGTGGAAAATTTAATAACTGCTGATTAGGCAATTATGAGTCGAAATTTTAATAACTGTTTATTAGGCAATGACAAGTGGAAAAATAGCGGTTTGTTTCTATCTCTTAAAAGTCAGTAGGACTCTACTCACCTACCTTCCAAAAAATGAAGATACGGTTGACATCAACATGAATGAACCAATTGACGACCTTCAAATTCATACGTCATTCAACTTCAAGAGATTGATTAATGTTCATTTATTCATCTAAAAATTGCTGAAATATTTTCAAAAATCACTAGAAGAAATGTAGAAACTGATGGACTTCGTTCGAATGTTGCTGTTGTTGATGATGTGATGAATGAAAAAACCACCGTTATTCCCACTTGTGATTGTCCGATAGGCAGTTCTTGTGAACTAAGCAACGGTGCTGTTATTTTCTATTTTATTGCGCAGCAAATTTGACATTAATTTTCCGTCATCATTTTGAAACGAATGTGATGCAATTTAGGAATTCTGGTTTTTCGTTGGATGAGAATGCAGTAGACGGCAGATATTAGAACTGAAAGTTTTATTTTTTATTTTTCATCGGTTTCTTCCGAAACGTTTTTAAGTGATGTTACCTGATGTACACAAGCTCATTATAAGTTATGAGTTGAGCGTAAAGAAAGTCATTTTCTATAAATAGAATTGTTGCCATAAAGGAAACAAAACATTGTTTTTCATCAATCTAATCAAAACATTTATTGAGTCTAATCAAAAAAAAGACAGTTGAAGACGTTCACCACAAAGCAGGTCTCTCTCGCTAATTTCTACCACCCGTTTTGATCTAATACTGTGTCTGTGAGTTTTATGCTTGAATAGATTTCAATTTAGTGCACAGTCCATGAAATACTTTCAGTTTATCCATTAAAATGATACCGACGTACGGCAAGTGAATGAGTCATGGTCGATAAAAACGTTTATGAGTTGACTGCAGTGATTCTGCGATCAAGAAATGTAAGAAGAGAAACAAATTGCATTGTTTGGCTTCATTTATGATTGAATCAAAACGCGGAATTGCTCATTTTGGTTACTATTTATTACGCTCTCCTCTCGTCGCATATATAAAAGCGCCATCTCTTTAGGTGAGACACACACTTATTAGCGTTCGATGATCATTTAGTCACAAGGCGTTGCTTATTCTATTAACTGCTCACTGGTGACAGCGGCATTGATTAAATGTCATTTGTTGACTAGATTGCTGCTTATCAGTTCATTATTGCAGGTGCTATTATTCAAACTACTATTTATTATGATACACCCTATCAATATCCCTGCTGATCTTCTCGCTCCAAATTCGACTTCACGACCCGAGACGTTCGCAGTTAAGCGATCTCGACACAGTGTTAGGTATTTATATATTCACATTGTTCATATTCATATACACTTATTTACAAGTTTCAACATGGGTTCCTGCGAAAAAAGATTGTAGGGAGGGTAGTTCAAATAGCTTAATTTTTTTACAAAGCATTCCTGAGTAAAACCAAGTCGCAAACTTGTAGTAAATAAGGAATTCGGGTGCTCCAGATAAGTGCTTAACCGAAAGAAGAGGTGTCTTGCATTGACGAGGTGTTTAAATGAGGAGGTAACGAATTAGTTTTAAATAAACTTGTGATATACAGTTATACCGCGGATGGAAGACGGCTGGTTGATGGTATTCTCGCAACGCCATCTAGTCCGGTTAATCTGTGGGGTGAATTGTTTGTTCGGAGTGCTGTGGATCGTTTCAATATTGAGCACAAGCCTAGGCCGAATCATAAAAATTCACCGATCACGCAAAATTCGATTCCAAAATGTCAGTCAGTCGGCGATGCATTCAACGAACACGGCAATGTAACCGTTTCAAACAAGTCGCAATCTCTTGATAATATTTCACAAGTTCAACCAAACATCGAGAACGGCTTCTGCGACGACAACTTAGTTTACACTGAACTTTGTTCATGCTCGATGCCATTCACTCCATGCTGCTCAGGTGAAGTTAGCATTTGAACTTTTTAAGAAACGTTCCACTTTTTCATGCTCATATTTCACAAATATCGCTTTTTCCACGCAACCGTCATGTACTTGTCATTTTTTGGGTAACAGGATTAATTTGGATTGATAATAAGATTGACCAAACTAAATTGAGCATTGTATCAGAACATTTATGCAAAACCCAGGCAAGCATCCAATGTTCTTATTTGCTGTTTAATTATCCATATTCACCATTGGTAGGAGACGCGTGGAATCAGGAAAAGATTCCAAACGGTTTTCATGGAAGAAGTGCTTTGTTATACTGACTGGTCACAAAATAACACTGAAAACTTACAGCAGAAGCAGACTGTCGTAAAGAGCTGATCCGATTGAACGTTCAAAATGTGAATCAAAGTGATGCAAAGAGCAATCAAAACAATCGAAAAAATTGGATGACTTTAATTCGAACACAGTCAGTAGCTGTAATGGAATAGATTTGCATATATCAATTGTTCAGAAATGTATTCGATACAGTTATTCCATTCGAGAAACACACTTTTTCGAAATATCCAGCAAACTCTAAATTAATGAGCCAATCAAATATTCTTGCTCTGTTCAGATCAAGAGAGCACGTCACGGTGGAGATGAGCAGAAAATTCCAACAACAACATCACTTTATACGAAACGCTGACACCTCAAATAAATTCGACAAGCAACATGTATCGCTGTTCATCACAACAGTTACGATAAGTGAACATACCATCATAATATGTATGCATCTTAGAAATCATACGCATTCATCAAAAATTTTCAGAGTGAGTAAGAGAAATTTTATTTTTTCAAACACAAAGATCTTTCTTCAATCAACGATGTTTGTCATTACAATACACCTTTGTGCAAAAGCATCAAATATTTTGAGATAGCTTTATTGTTTGAATTGCGAATTCAGTGATGCCAAAACAAACACGGCAGCTATTGTTTGTGTAGTCAACTTGTTAGATGAGATCGTTATCTAATCGAATTAATAACTTGCAGAAATTCATTAATTGTCGTCATGAAGTGATAATGCATGTTTCAGTAGCCAACAGAAAAAGAATTTATTCCACGAAACAATGCAGTCTTGGTGTGCAGTATGTTGGCGATTTCCAAATGACCACTAAATCAGTATAGTGAGAAAAACTAACAAAAACATCATGAGTAGTACTATTTCAGGCGTTGATACACAATCACCTCGTCGTTAAGAATCGTCCTGAAAAACTGCTTTCAACACAGCGTCATGCACTCGAAATTCCATCACATCAAGGTTTACCATCATTTCAAATTGTTTCAACTTCATGACTTTACTAAGCGAGTTGATACTAGGGTGGTGCGGGGATTAGGGAATTTCGGGGACCCCGTCTTCAAATCCCCGTCTCCCTCCCGGATTTTTTTCGAGCCGGCAGCATTTTCGGGGTCCCCGACTACAAAATTTCGTCCCCGATTTTCCCCGTCCCTAACTTTTTTTTCCGTTCCCGCACCACACTAGTTGATACCCAGAGTGGACTTATAATTAATCGACCTTTACCCAGTGAATCCTGCGTGAAATTTCAAATGGGAATACAAGTGAAAATAGCAAAGAAACTACGGCAAAATTAGGCACAAAGAAAAACAAATTGGATAAAACATCTCCGAGTTTCTCTCTGAAGTCCCAACGTCATCGATTTTATGAATTAACACACGGTTAATGTTTCTGTCCTCCATAATCCATCGGGTTTGTTGGAAATCAAGTTTCTCCCCATAAGACACATTTAAGATCTTGTTCCACATCTGTTCAAACACCTTCCTTTCGCATTCTGCAGTGACTTTTGCAGTGGATTCCGTTTCATTTACTCTAGGAGAGCGCTGTGCTTCCAATATTGTCTTGATCTCCTCCAGTTGAATTTCTGAACACTTTCGAAGTTAAGCTCAAAAACCGAATTTTGATATTCACTTCAGACGTTTCATGCGTAATTATGATTCAAACGTTCGACGATAAACAAAACTTTACACGACATGAAATTTGCGATGTCTTGCAGACGTGATGCTAGATGAAATTCATTGAACGGTGGTGAAATTTGCAGATAGAGATTTAGAAATACAAATCGAAACCGATACTCAATTAGACGATATGCCAGATGGCATTGGTAAACGTCTTGTGATCACTGTTAACGGTGATGTTGTTTGAACGACACCAGTGGAACGAATATGCGTGGTGTGACGAGATGAAGTGATTTGCTGCTCAGTGCACGATTGCACCACCTCGAGCAATTTCCTTGATCAGTGAACTGAGAATGTTCATGATGCAATTAGACAGGACACCACTGAATTTCAGCTGAATGCTCGATAATCATATCCTTTTAACTCCCTTTTCTCCCTCTCCCTCCTTCCACAAACACAAGACAAACCGTATCGGTACGAACCATAAAGAACACATTAAACCAAAGTACTTGGTGACAGTCACTGCGATCAGAAATTTGAACCGAGTAAAAAGAAAACATAGCGCGGTAAATCTGCCAGCTTTGGATGAACAAACCCTTCACCTCGCTATGCCACAGCCTACTGCTATCATTATTATTTCTGAATGGTATTATTGTTATCACTATTATTTGCGCTATGAAGAGTTGCGCATAGATTTAGTTTAAACGTTTTACCTTCAATCGTAATAGCGAATATTCGCAAGTGAATTGAACCCATGAATTATTATTGAATGCATCTTTTGGGTTCATTTCATCACTGATTTTCAACTATATTACCTTTTCTTTTAAACTCATCATTCAAATAACCCAATTCGTAATGAACCTCAGTCCAGTAAATAATACTGGAACGTTTGATAAATTTACACGTAATAATCAGTTGATCGTGTGATTTGTAATCCGCAAAATTTTATCAAACGCTCCTTCAAAACTGTATAGACATATGCAAGCACAATTGTATAAAGAAATTTGAACAAGACTGAATTGTACAGAAGAACTTGTAACATTCAAATACGCTTGTAACAAATTTTATTGCGGCGCAAATTCTGAGTAAAAGTGTTCAATGAGAGTTTCGTTTAACTGTAACGATATGTGATGAATTTCTTCGAAACAATGTTCCCATATACGAATGCCAACCTAAGTAATGGTGGTCTGTCAGAGATGAAATGCAGTAAATTCCGTGAACAAAAAAGCTGCCACTTGAGAAAATGCTTACAAAATTGGATATTACGGTTAAACAATAGAGCTTACCTACCGCTTAGCCCAGTAGATTCTCGTCAGATTGAATTTCATCAGGATGAAGTAATGAGGTACACGACTTCAGAGCCAAACATTATGCGAAATCATCGTTCGTCGACTGATGCGTCCATGCATATTTATATATGACAAAAGAAGAAACAAGCGTAGACAAGATAATCAATATGAAACAAGACATAATATCATAACATGACATGTCAAAACATCAAACATCAAAACACCAATTTACAGAACAGTAGCGATTTTGCTGAGACGAAAATCTGAAATCGCCCTCCAATGAAGTTCGACCGAATTAATCCTCTTCATCATCGTGTTTCCGCTTTGTACCACGATTTCCATCTTCGTCTTCTTCGTCTGACTGTTCCTCATCGCCCTCCGCAGGGGTAAAATCTTCTGTTTCATCCTCATCCTGAAATATTATGGAGACTTCATCGATATGGTGCTTATCAATCAGAAGATATTTACTTGCAAGAATTGCATTTAAGTTACTGATGAGTTCAAGCATATAACTTAGAGCTCGGGCACCGAGGACCGCTGTGGATTACATTCCAAACAGCATTTATTGGGACTTATTTCATACTTCACCATTTGCGTCACCGCCACCTCATTCATTTGGAACGCTATCCCACTTTGACTTTTTAATGAAGCTGTATGATACTAAAGGATCTGATTTGTCTCCACGAGATAAACTGGATCAGATAAAGTCACCTTTACCGGTTCGGAAGGTCGGTCGGAGAGCACTAGTGAGCCGATCGTAAGATTTATTTTGGCTGGCTCGTTTACGAGCTTTATATGCTCGAGTAATAGTATGATACATAATAACCTCAACAACATTTGAACTTTGTAAATAGTCAAGTCCAACTTCAGAATCCTCTTCGTCACCCTGATCTTCTTCAGAATCCTCGTCCCCATCACCAAGATCATTATCGTCATCATCGGATTCGATCTCCTCATCATTCTCATCAAAACCGTCCAAGTATTTCAAATTCGGAAGAGCCTATAACGTTTACTACTACCATGCATTAGATACCTAAAACATCATTCGTTTCTCGAATGAATGCAACTATCTCCTTCCTCTCCATCTGACATTTTTAATTTCGCCAATACAAAAAAATCGCTCGAAATGTTTATGATAACAGATCCGATGAAAACAGAAAATTTTTTGATAATGAAATATAATCAAATAAGTGAATAACTTGTTCAAGTGAATATCACTAACTTTAAAAACGTCTGCTCTGTAATTGTCAGCATGTGAAACATCGCAATTGAACAAATCGAGTGATATGAGATTCTTGAGTTCGGTGAGTGGCGCTAGAGATTGAATGTCTGCAATTTTATTGCCTGACAGCACCAAATGTGTCAAATTAGGACAACCATGAAGCACTTCTAGGCCACCTGCGATCCTGTTATCCGACACTTCAAGTCTCTTCAATGAGTTCAGTGCAGGTAAACCCTGAAAACGAAAAAATACCATACAATTTCATAACGAACGTCTTATTAGAGTAGTGGCAATAAACAAATGAGATAAAGATGGTTTCTGTGTATGAATGATACAGTCGAGAATAGAATACCTTAAGAGAGGTGAGTCCAACGTTGATCATCGACAGAGTTTGTAGCGATGTGAACTCTTCGTTCAAGCCAGCAATACTGGTGGCTCGACAATTGTCTAAATACAATTCGTGCACCTCTGATGGCCGACGCCCGCGTAATTCCAATTCAATGCGATTCTCCATCACTTTCGCGATAAATTAATAATTTGCAATCTGAAATTATTTTATTCATCAGAAAACTTAGCCACTGAATCGTCATCAAGTGATGTTCAGTTTTAAGCATTGTCACATTCATGACTCGAAAAACGATAAATTTTGTAAAAGAAACCATAGGAGATTGTATTCACTGAAAAGCGTTCACAATTTCCACTTTGGCAATGGCTCAGCACGCGAAGCAATTTTGGGAAAACTGTCCCTTCTTAGCCGCCGGCGAAAACGAAAGAACCTATGCAGATAGTTGGATGCAAACAGTGCATTCTTCTAAAACGCTGTTTCCAACGAGGGCACTAGCGTCTTCATTGTTGTGCTGAAAGGGGGCAATGTACGCCTCCGTTTGACTGTGGAAAGCGACGAACACACAAAGACGGTGGGCACTCATCCTTTTTATTTCTTCTCTAGGTGCTCCCAAAAGAGGTAGTGTTTAAAAAAAGGTGGTGAACCCCAGGCTAGTATGCGAACAGAGCTAAGTTTAGATGACCACTAACACACCATATGCGGTATCGCTTCTAGCAACAGAAACTGATCCTCAAACAACACTTAAGGCAAAATGCGTTACGTAAAGGCATGAAACAGAACTGAAAGCAATTACAAATGAACTCATTTAAGCGAATAAGTTCATCAAGCACTATATCAGCTGTCCGTAGCATTTCACGTAGGGCAGTGATTGATTTCAGTGAATTAACATGTCTTCTTCTTCACAGGCGCACACAATGAATAGAATGCATGCATCACGGCAGATCAACGTCGCCGATCGACTCGCTCGTTCCAAGACTTCACCGCGGATGTATTTTTGGAACGATCGTAATCCGTAAACAAACGAAAACAACTCCGCAAATGAGTGATGATCACGAAGACTTTGAAATTCAATTGTAAAAGTCACTCCTTGCCAAAAGGATACCGTCACGGAATATCGCTCTATTGATAATTTGAATCAATTTTTCAAACAATTGATTCCTTCATACTGGACGCTTACTGTGTAAACGCACAAAGTAAATTGACCTGGAATTAGCAAAAATGCTCCGAAGAATGCTAGGCGAACTAGCTGTAGTAATATTACCCCTGAACGAATCAATAAAGTAATGATACTAATGATGGTATACACAGAAACAGAACAAGCGTTTGATTAGCTAAATCAGTTGAATTCATGAACTCAACTGTCAATATGCATTCACGATAAAACAATCAGGAACGATAAATGAATGAAACTAAACAAGTGAAATCATATTCATTTCATCTTCTAGTTTGATCGTCCTCTTTCATCTCATCTTCAAATAACGCTCGCCTTGTCATATACTGCAGAGCAGAAGAGAAGCGAGCGAGCGAGCATCGAACCGATGCGCACGCACGCTCCCTTCGCCACCCTTCTCTTCATCGCACTATTCAGTTCGCGCCACTTCACACTCCCGCCCTATGCACAACAGCATTAGTAATAGTTGCAGAATCGAAGTAGTTATGTAGAGAGGGCATAGATCTCTTGTTATTATTATTATTGTTTGTTAATGTCCTTATCGCATTCGTATATATAAGAAAATCAGAATTCTTTTCCTGGTGAGATTTTACAGAGGTCTTCAGAATTTGAATTGGAGAAATAGTGGGGATACGCAGATTCAAGTTATTGATGCGAAAAGATGGAAATATTTATTTGTTACAGTTGGGCATGAGAATTTTTTTAAAGGGAATTCATCCTCTCTCGTAACTCTGCTCTGACCGATCAAGGTACGGAGATCACATTCCAGAAAATTACAGTCTTCAACGAAACTCTAATGAAAAATGGCATCTCAGCGTATGTAGTTAATGGATATTGGCGAACGTAGTCAAGAGAAATTACGCATTAATTACGGATTATTGGTGTACTGCAACACTCATTATTTGCTATCCTTTTGAGCAATCTGAAAGAAGAGTCGCAAAAAGACATCACATTCACGGAGTCAGCTGTTTTAACTTGGGATGTTTGAAGCATTATTTACGAGCGTGAACCATTTTGCAAGTTTCGTGCTGGCGACTAATCTTCATTGTTACTTACGTCAAATCAACGACAGTTTAAAGAGATTGAAGTTTCAATTAATATTCGTGAATGTTTATTCATTGAGATCACATGAGATTAGTGCAGAACGAATAATAAATTCCAACTGATCATGGGATTTAATTAAAAACTTCTTTGTTAGCATTTATGCGTAGATGGAGGGCAAGAAAACGAGAAAGTTAGTTGAAAATTTGACTGAACTCGTTTGTAGGGCGCTGCATTTTTGAGAGTGTTTTTCCTACATGGATTTTTCAAGATTATACCACTGGAAACTATTCGTGGTTGAATCTCAACTTCCTTATTTCATTAAAAAGGCTATCGAATGACACCAGCTCTTGCTTTTGCTCGATAATCTCGCTTCTACTAAAGCCGTAACGTTTCAATGAATACAGTAACGATCGAATGAATAAACTTCGACTTTCAATCATGGAATTATTTTTATTGAATCATCTGATTTTTGCCCATAAAGTGCATGGCTTACCGGCTCATAGTGAACTAATATCGTGGTGTTTCAGAGTTCTGTGTGAAAACATATATAAACTGATTACGAAAGAAGTTTCATTTGAAACTCATGCATAACTTGAAAATTACTGTATGAAAAACAAAAAGTAATTGGTTGATGTTGTTTATCCGAAAATTTGTTGAACGCACGTCACAAGAACTCGATTACCACTTACAACTTTTGTAAAATTTTGCTCAGAACGACTATATCTAGAATTATGATTTTGATGCAAGCAGCTAATGATTTGAGTGGTCTGAAGTGGAGCAACGGCAAGACATGTCTTACGATTAGGCTGGTGATCGCATCTCTTTCGTGTTTCTTCATTCATGGTCTGTTCGTTTACACAAGACGCTTCATTGCTTCGTCTCTTCAACATGCTGCAGCTCGTCTCGATCTTATCTCGAGTCTTGTATCGTTCAAATTTCGTTTAAGCGTTTTTCGTCTGTGCTTATTACCACTGTTGGGCAGTAGTGCGCTACTCGCTATTCCGCCACTAGCGAGGCTACGCTATTCGCTACAAGCTCGCCATTTTTTTAACAAAGTGATAACTTCCATTACAATAATTTTTAGCGGCATTAAGTAATGGTGGCTTGCTTTGTGTTCTTCCAGTAGCGTTTCAGCGATCTAATTTTCTTTCAAACATCCGCCAACTCGCTACTTTCAGTATGTAAGGTAATGCTTATTGACCGAACCGTCACGGATCGACCGAACCGTAACGTGTTGGATCGGTTATCCTAATGGCTATTGTTTTGTATATTACTGTTATAATGACTTACACTTATTCTTGCAGTAACTGTTCTGTCATTCCGTGTGTTAGGCTGTTCATATTCTATCCTTCCATCAGCTTACGTCCTCAAGCTCGTTTTGAGCAAATCATTGGAAATTCGTAGAGTGAATTGTCTTCGTTGTGGTGGTTGAGCTTGCTTTTTTCTGCAGATGCAAGATGCTTCCGTAGAGATTACGGTGTTTCATTTTCGAAGTCTATATGCGTTATGAGACATCACATGGCAGTTATTTGAGATCACCAAATACAGAATATTATTGCATGTGGTGAGAATTTAGCTGGATAGTTAATTAGATGTCAACTACGTGAATAGTTTCTATCAGCAACAAAGTGCTTCGCTGTTCGAACTCTGATCAAAATTTCATTCAGAGAGCATTGTTTTTAAAAGTTCAGTGGAATGCCTCAATCATCTCTATCTTGTCCAGCAGTAAGAATGACACAGTGATTCATGGACTAAAATCGTGATTCAGCGAATATGCATGAATTTTATCTGATGAGCAAAACAAAACAGCTTCGTGATCTTACAAGTGCAGCTTGATCATGTGTCACTTCCCTTCATCAATCAGTAATAAATTTCATAGTTATCAATTCATCTGGTTTAATTAATGGTTTCGGATTGATCTGTTCCACCTGATTTTATTTCGTAAACATATTGAAAGAGTTTTTAAAGGCGCATACCTGAAAGCCAATATGATACTGAAATCGTTTATCATTCGTAAGTTATTAACATTATCACGACTTTTCAAAATATATATCCGCCCTAGTGATATTTCTTTTGCAATCAAACTGTTCTGTTTCTGTTCCATTCCAAGGTTCAGAAAAAACACTTCCAAAAAAGGGCGCGAAGAACAGATGAAACAGAACAACTGAAGAGTGGAATAGAACAGCTTGCCAAGAGCGTCGATCAGAAACAGCATTAGTGCTCTCCATAACGCTTACCTATTATGGGGTGCCTTTAAGGCTTCTTCAATGGTATTTATACATATATTCCGTCACTTTGTTCTGTCGTTACTTAGCATACCCACTCCGTTTCGGACTTTTCAATGTGATGTTGATGCTTGACGTTACGGCTTTGATTATCTTATCGAAAGCAAGCATGAGATCAGTTTTGATTTGCTTTTATTTTTTGACTAGTTCAATTTCGAAGACCATCCCATGCAGAAACAGCAGTTTGGCTATTTTGTTGTCGTCGCACCTCAAGGTATGCCCAGTTTTCTTGTGCTCATTCAAGTGGTCTGATGTGTGTCTGACGTTGATTCGCCAACATTGACTGCTCCATACATTTCACCGTTTCTTGGATTATCTCTCCAAGTATATTCCAAAATTTCTGTCATCGATGTCCAATCTGCTTCAGTGTTTTTGTGAGAGTTCAATTAGAATCCGCCTACATCATTATCAGAAGCATGGCTATTTGATAAAATTTCAATTTAATCTCACTTTAGGATATCCCAGTTGGGTTACCTTAGGATACGAATTTGATGAATCTAGTTGTACACATCCAAAAAAGATTCACTGAAACAGTTTTTTTGTTTTACTGCTTGATGAGGAAACGGACCCTTAGAAATGTTACAGTTATTTGTATGGTTCATGAATTTTCAGCTCCATTCAATCGCAGACAAACCAACTGACATCGCGCTCTCTAGCGTGAATCCCGT